CCAAACCGGTTGCGACGACTGGTGCCGGGACGACTGATAAGACTGTGCCTGACACGCCGCTGAGCACTGAGGAGCACTCCTTGGCGACCCGCTTCGGCGCTAGTAGGAAGGCGAAGCATGTGGAACTGAGGTGCCTGTACGTGCAGCATCTTGTGCAAACGGGTCTGCTGAGAATGGCCGAGATTGACGGCGCACGGAATCCCTTGGATCTATGTAATGACCAAATATGTGGCCATTGATGTGTTGCAAAGATTGAAAATCCAGTTGGGAATGGTCTCGAGCTGGTTCAAGAGCAATGGCAACGCTGATGCTCATGATCTCGGTGATCATGTTGCCGCCCTCGCCCGCCTCACCGCCGCACTGGGCATCGCTCGCGCGCCCCTCCCGTTCCCGCCCTCGTGTGTCTGTGCGAGTGATTTGCAGTGCGACTGCGCTGCGTGTCATGACTGACATGTGCGCTGTTTGTTGTTCGTTTCCCCGAAAGGCCCAAAAGCCAAAGAAAGAGAGTGTTAGAGAATGAGAAAGAAATTTCTCCGATTGCCGAAATGTTTTCCGATCGAATGTAGAGCGCTTGTTCCGATCCCGCAGGGATCGCAGGAATGTTCCGAAAGTTTTCCCGAAAAACCGAATGGGGATCGGAGATTTTGCCCGAATGTTTGGCGATTGTCTGGCGAATGTTTGGCGATTGTCTGATGAAAGTCTGGCGAATGTTTGCCGATTGCTTTCTGACTTCGCTTGAAATGCAGTTCTCTGAGAGAATGTGAGAGAAGTATTTATAAGTGACCATGCGCAGAGTCGCAATGCGAGCGACTGTCTGAGACACTTGTGTTGTTGATTGAGGTCAATGTGTTTCCCTTCCGGAATGTTTCTCTGAATGCTTCCTAGTGCGACCTCCGACTGCCTAGCGTGTAGACTGCCTCCTTTGCTAGTGTGAAGCAATGGCCCCCAAGACTGTTGCCGTGATTCAGCAGAAAGTGATGTCTGCTCCTGAAGACAAGATTGAGGCTATCACCGGCGAAGAGTTGGCTGCGGATTTGGCAGCGCTGAGTGGCAGAGACCTGAGATGTGAGTGAGATCAAGACCGAAGGTGTTCAGACCACACTGGTCGCAATGCACATGATGGGGCAAATCCCGACTGAGAGGCATGATTTGCAGCGACTGGCAATAGGTGATCGGGCGAATGTTGCTCAGCCGCCTGCTGAGAATGCCAGCGACCGTGTCAGATTGATACCGCGCTGGGCATTGCCGGCTCGAATGGCGGCGAAGTCGAGTGCCGCCCCGACTGTGGCAACAATGTGGCAGTGGAGGCCCTCCGCCCGATGAGTGAGACACTCGTGCCACGCAAGCTGAGCCGGAATGGTCCAGTGAACCACGAGATTTCGGCCGCAATGCGTGGGCTGGACTGGGCAGCTATGTGGCGACTGTTAAGGTGAGGCTGATCGCAAAAGATTGCCATTGAAGCCTGTGACCACGCCGACAGAACGTTGAGCGCGCAGCTGTCAATGCACTGTACCGGCGTGAGAGGGAGGAATACCATCACCCACTGTTGATGCCGGTGGACTGAGTGCTTGTCGCATCGATCAGCCTGAAGGCCACTCGAGTGGCCCAACGTCGTCCTTGCACCTCAGAATGTCTTCGCTGGGAATCAACGGTGCCCAGAATGACCCGAATGCAATGATGGTGGAGACTGGCTGGTTTGTTATGACAAAGGCCGAACGAATGTTGCTCAAGGGCAACTGGCACATCGAAGGGATCCCGCCTGCGCGAAGGAGAACCTGACTGTCAACCTGGTCAGAGTGTGTGACTTCTTGGCGAATGGGATGCCAACCAGAATGTCCACACGCCACGTGGTCGTCTTCAGTAGGGCGACTGCAGAGGCTCGCTGCAGATGGACGAATGCCGGACCTGGGCCTGGATCTGGGAGGAATCAAATGAAACTGGCTAATTAGTTTAGTCGTCAGCTCACTGACCACATCTCGACCTTCTCTGCGACTGACCCGAATGAACGGAAGCAACCGGTGTGTGGACCATGTCGCCGGAGTCGATTGACTCAATGGGCATCCTGCGAGTGCCCTTGAATGATCCAATGTGTTTGCCCTCGCCCAAGATCCTCTTGTGCCTGAGTGCGGCATTGAGTGGGGATACCGAGCCACACTGCCCGACGCAGGACTGGTGGAATGGCACTAGATGGGATACACGATGGTGCCCCTAAGCCAATGCCATGACGATGGACTGAAGCATGACTGTTGCAGTTGGGATGAGTTGTATGAAGAAGATGACAGCGAAGTGCCCGAATGTGAAGAATACCTGGAATGGTCCCAGCAGCAGCTCGACTGCCCAGCCAATGGCGTCGACTGCTAACTCCATCGAAGAGGTCACCAATGCCCGGATGCCCGGCGCGCAGATTGTCCTGAGGATGAATGCCAGTGTGAGTCCGGAATGATTTTAGGATGTTTTGCAATGTGAAGTCTTTGTTGAAATGTTGAATTGTTGAATGGATGTTTTCTGTGGATTGCACTGACTGAAGTTCTCGGATTCAATGATGTATGGATCAATGCCCGACTGCCTGCGAATGCTACGTACCTCCCACTTTTGCAATGACTCGAATGTCGACCGAGTCGACCAATGGCCTGTGGCAATGTTGTTTATTTCGAATGTTTTGTGATCGCTTCGCGAATGCCGCCGTATAATTGTGTATTGGATAAATGTTTGAAGGATCCTCGGCTGAAATCAGGATCAAGGGATTGTGTTACATTACACGAGCCCAACGAACCCCTGAATGTTCACGATGCATTTATGAATGCTGCGATGCCGAATGGCACTGGCTCAAGATCACTGAGGACTGGCTCATGGTCTCATAAAGGAATGCTTGCTTGACAGTGTGTGACTGGGGACAGTGATTGATCTTGGTTGCTCGGGATTGTCTAGACTGTTCCTTTGGTTTTTACACTCCCACTTCTTTCGCTCTCATCTTCAACTCATGCCCTTCAGTCTTTTCACTCTCTGCCGCTTCCTACTCGGCCTCAGTCATCCTTTCTCCGCACAGCCCGCTCCCATCCACTCCGTAGTCCTCGGGCCCTGCACGCTCCACTCCGGCTCAAACCGACATCCCACCCACCTCCTGACTCCTCAGGTATTGCGACGACCACGACGTGAGCTCGGGCCAGGTCATTTCACCTGATGCCCGCAGTATATCTGAGCTCTGGCTCGTGCAGTCAGTCGCAGTGGCTCATTTTTGCTGAGTCCGCTTCTTTGCAAGCCGGCATGTGTGAAAAAAATCGAGGGAGATCGACCTAGCTTGGATGAGCCCGGTGCACAAATTTAGCGTGGATGGGCAGCCGAAGCATGGCGTTGATCCTTGCAAGTCGCTGTCTGTGATTTAATTCAAAGTGATAAATTAGCATGTTGTGAGTATCCAAATGAGGTGCATGGTATTGCTTGTACGTGTACATGTCTGATGATTTCGTCAACGCTTCCTGCCCTGAGTTCCTGAGGATCCCACAAACCCGTGGGCCGAAGACGTCCTGCGCCTCTGCGAGAAGCAAGGTCAAGAAGTCGCGGGCGCGCCTGTTAGACTCTCGAAGCCTTCCGCTGGCCTATCGTTCTAGCACGTTGCATGCGCGTGCCAGCAGGCCGCTTCGACTTGAGTCCGGCCATGGTCGGGAACTGAGAAGAACAGCTCCGGCCCTGAGAGCGAGACACCAATAATTACCAACGATCATCAAAACGCAGCTGCAGGCTGGGCGCCGCATCAGTATGCCAAGTTGGGACTACCCCGCACAAACATTTTGATCAGGACACCAGGTTTTTTTCATCCGGCACATGGATTGCGCACGCTGGCTTTCAAAGCAATGCCGAGTCACCAGGCACAGCTACATGTAGAGATTGTAGAGAATTAGTCGTGTGATGCTTGGGCAAATGCCTCTTGCATCGCGCCATGGCTACTGGCCGAAAACGCTTGCCAGCTGCAAACACTTGCGCGGCAAGCTGTTCCACATTAGGCCAATGTCAAGGCTATTTGATAAGCTCGTACAACCCTCTGCAATGCGCTCGTGGAAGTTCAGAACGGTGAAAGCACGAGCATGCTTCAGATTGTTTCGACAGTGCATTGCAATTCGCAAAGGCGACGGAACCTATGATGGGTGCGGCTTGACAAACAGGATGTGAGTGGCGGGTGTCCGGCAGGCATGTCAATGTCCGGGCCGGTCTCCCGAAACTCAGCTTCTGGCTATGGCAACGGAACCCTCCTGGCACGGCTGCAAGGCCTCTGAGGCTGACACAGGCTCATGCCGCCTGACAGTAATCGCGTAGTCCGAAAGCAAGACAAGTACAGTTGACAGCGTACTTTAGAGTCAGCTATGTAGCACTGCTCCCATCCATATAAATGCTGAAGTACATGGAAAGATCGGCGGCCCCTTCTCAAGGCGGAGCCTGCGAGGCACGCAGTGTCGTTCCATGTTGGTCCGTCGTCTTGTCCATCTGGACTGGCTAGATTCTGGTCATCCAGATAAGCCTGCTGATCATCAGGCACTGTTTTCAGCACATTTGGCTTTCGAATGATCGCCAGTTTACACGCGGTTGCTTCGTGCGCTCTCGCGCAAAGGACTGTGTGATGAGCGCATGATTCGACCACCGGCAGTGCAGTCTCAGAGTGTATGGAACTCCATTACGCAGGGGAGCGGAATTGAAGTCGACATGTAGTTATTACGCACACAATTATCCGATTCCGGGGCCCAGCACTGCTGTTGCAGCCCGTAGAGAAATTGACCTACCGTGAGTAATCGAACGAAGCGGAAACATGGCCATGTACCGTGACCGGACCAGTGCATCAGTAGCCTTCGTGGCTTGTCGTCGAGTCTCCCGGACCACTTTGCGAGATGGCTCGAGTTCGCTGCAACCAGGCTAACCCCTGGCTGTAGCCAGCGACACCTCTCTCTGGGTTGAGTGTGGAGCTGTATAAAGACACACAGAAGAGACGAGGACATGTTGAGTCTCCGAACATGCTGGGCTTCCAAGTAAGATCCCTCCAAGAGAACATGTCGCCAATGGCACAACTTCTTGACGATGGAAGTGACTCCTTCTGGCCAGAAGCCAAGTGCCATCTTTCCGTGCAACCGAAAATGTGAGTGCAGGCTGGGCCGTGAAATCATGCTGATGACACATGAGTGCAGAACAAGCTGCAGAACATATAGTTTCGTTCACTCGAGAGCTGCAGTCGCTCATGCACTGCCCCAGCTTTTGCTGCAAGCATGCGTCGGATTCGGTCGTGTGCACTGAATCATGAGGTCCAATCCCACGTGGCTGAAGCCATCGTTACCATCTGCGATCTCCGAGGAGGCTTGCGATGTCATGTAAGGCATGTACACACTATGCCGGAACGGGGCGGATGTATCTGTCAGGCAGAATGCAGCAACATCAGTTTACCTGTGGTTACGCTAACAACCTCTACAGATGCTGGGGAAAGCTGAATGTGGGCATCGTTTGAGCACTGGCATGTAAGCAAGTGTAAGGAGCTCCTGGGCGTGTGGGCCGACTCGCTTGGCAATGCGGCATCCCGGCAGCTTTGTGTTCGGATTTCTGGTCTCTGCGCACAGCTGCAAGCTGGTTCAACATCTCGAAGGTATGCGTGTCTGCTGGAACTACTTCACAGCCAAAGCTGGATGCGCCCTCGGCATTGCCTGAGAAAGGATCCTTTTGGTCGCCTGGGCTTTCTCAGACTTGCGGTGCACTCAGGAGGCAGTGCTGGCAAAGCCGCCGCGAGACGACATCCACTTGTCCATGAGGCTGCCGGTGTCCGTCCAGTTGGAACTGCATTGCCATGTCAGGGATGGTTGCACTAAATCCATGAGTCTAGCACATGTCAAACCAAAAAGCTCCTGCTAGCGAGGCCATCAGCTATGATGATGCACATCATGACATCATGTACCCCTGTGAGTGCCGTCCAGGCCCGACGAGGGAAGTGGATGGATCTGTGGCAATGCCACGTCAAGAGCTGAGTGCCATGCAAAGCTTCAATCACGTCTGTAACTTCTTACCGAAAAGCTGCATGTACGAAGGCAGTTTGAGGTTCACAACTTGGGGCACTAGTGCGTGCTCCGGTAAACATGGGTGGTGTTCTGTCCTTTTCTGTCTTGGGCAACCTTCTCGGAGCAACACGTAACTCCATAGCCATTGGATGTCAATGACTCGAGTCTGTGATGTAATCCGCTTCCAATTGAAAGTTGTGTAGTCAGGCGGTTCAAACTAGAGCGGTGGATGGAGGGCGTTCAACATTATCACTGTTGCCAGGTCCAGGTAGTCTGCTCTTAGCCATTTTTGCAGCTGTCGCCGCCATCTGTCCCAGGTTGGATTTGGTCAGGAGCTCTTCATCAATGCTGCACTGGTCACGCTGGCACGGAAATCCGTCATCCCATACGGTGTGTCGGCCGTACTCATGTCGTGCCGCTTGCCATTTGCATGAACGGTTGTGTGAGTTGTGTGTTGCGCTGGGGGAGCTTGGTCGGAGGACACTTCAACCGTGTCGTTGGGCCTCGTATGGGTGAGTCTCCGAGAGGTTTTCTCCGTTTCGCGTCCGGGCCCACGCAACACTGCTTGGGCGAAATGCTACAAGTAAGGCTTTGGGGGTTTCGGACGGTCGAAGTCGGGTGCTGTTTCTTGCTGGCCAGGGTGGCACGGGATGGCCGAGTGTCTGTTTGGGCGGGAACCTCAGGGAGAAGATTGCATGGTAAAGGCTCGTTGCCAACAAGGGTCCTGGCGTGGTAGTGTGCATGACAAACTGCCCAGAAAGCAGCTATTCAGCATAGTCTGGTGATGCCGTTGACGAAAGCACAGGGCGTCTAGCTAGGGTATTTGCAAGGTGCGCTTGGAAAACGTCGACCAGGAAACCGTGGACCAGGACAACAGCTCCTGAACTCTGCAGCTACGATCAGTGGAACGAGATGGAACAAGCAACACTTTGCTGTTCGAGTTGGAAGTCTTTGAAAGCTGTGTTGTTTTTAATTCGCTTTAAAGCTTGCCGGTCCGTGCGCGTGCAAAAGCTGTCCAGTCCTCTAAGATTGAGACTATGCACTTTGCTGCAGTATGACACTGTGTCTCAGTTCAGAGCGCGGCGCACGGCATCCAAAAGCCCCAAAAGCTCGTGATGTTTGGGCTGTCATATGCCTGAGCACACAGCGTTGTAGTATGAACATTAGTTTCGCGGTGGATGGCTGCGGTGAGTGGCGTCCCCAACTCAGAACTTAGCCTCAGAGCCGTTGGCCAGACCAGCCCCGTGGACTCTGCTTTTCTTCTCCCTGCGTCAGTTTAGTGTACATGGCCGCCAGACTATCGGAAGCAATGATCGGTGGTGACATCGAAGTCTGTAGTTGCTTGTTGCCGATACCTGCTTTCGTTGAAGCCTGGCAACTTTAGCTCTGCACAGGAGTCCAGAAGCCAGACAGACGTTTAATGCCGCCTTGGCACTTTCCAAAGCAAGATGCTCCGCTCCAGGGTGCTAGCAGTGCCACGTCATGTAGTGGTGCTTGTAGTGGGTGCTAGCTTTGGTAAGTGCGCTAAGAGTCTGTGTTCTTCGCCCGGGCCGTGCCTGCGAATTTCAGCTTTCCAGAGCGGAGCCGGAGCGGGTGACGGTTCGAGGCGCATGCAACCCACATCCAGCCGCTTTGCGTTGGTTGTATTTCCGTTATGCATTGTCTTTGGCTGATTCAATATGAATTCGGATCATCAGAGACGAGCGCGAAGGAATCTCTGACTTCGCGCTCCTGTGCTCACTTGTCAACAGTGAAGAACCTCCTTCAGACTTCAGAATGAGAGCGCGGCAGCTTCCAAGGAAAAGGCGAAGAAAATGCTGTTGCATGGCATGGTCAAGACAGTCACAGTCACCCGAATTTTTTCAGCGCAGCTAATGGAACCGCTCAATCTTCAGGCAGCTGTCGTACATGTGCCAATCAGATCGCGAAGGGCACATCGAGACTTCATGGGACAGCATGCATCAGTACCAGGCACCACAGAGTCTACCTTCGATTCGATCGAATCGCAGCAGCATTGTCGACTCGCCCTTTGCACAGTGGCAAGCTTGTCTAAGCTATTTGCAAGCTTTGCTGCCATCGCAATGCTTCGCGTTTCACGATGGCGGCGGCAGGCAGAGCCATGGGCACGTAGTGGAAAGAACTTGCTTCTTTTTTATGTCTCGAGCGTTTGAGGTGGCCGGTGAACTCAGAAGGTCCTGTCCTGCGCGAAGAGGTATTGGACACGTTGCTCCGATCTCGGTGGTCCGTTTGCCCATGGCACGACCAACATCCCATGGGTCTCGAAGAGAGCTGGTAGGGGAAACCCTGACGTTTGGCCTGGCCGTCGTGGCATGATGGAAACACCAGGACGTTTCTACGGCAGAAAGCATGCCAGAAGCAGGACAGTCACGCGTTCTGCATCTCACAGCAACGAACTCTCTGAGGCTTCCGTTCGCGAAGTGCAAGAGCTCTCCACTGCGAAGGCATGAGCACAAAGGTCTATTCAGTGGCTCGAACTCGGCGTGTGTGGAAGGCAGCACCAGTCTTGGCAGTGTTTACGGCGTCCTGGTGCCAACCCTGCAGCAGCCTCGGCCTGGTAGCTGCAAGAAACAGAGCCCGATGAAGCCGGCCACAGCACGGTTTCCTACTAAGCAGGCTTGGCGTCTCAAGCAAACCATCTGGAGCATACATTCGTGTTTGGTCAGGACCACGTGCTTATATGAAGGCCGGTACCAGTGCTCCTTCCCTGTGTCCTCCTCTCTCTTTCCCTCAGTCCTCAGTCCCAAGGTCTCCCGGCAAGCGCCTTTCAATTAGCACACCGACTGGGGCGCAGAAGCGAAGAAAAGTATGGAGTGAAGTCGCATGTCTTAGCGTCTTGGCGGCACCCTCAGGTCGTCGGAAGCGGGCAAGAAGCAACCCGTTATGGAACTGTCTAGACGGCCGGCGGATGCATTGCGAACATGCGCCGTGATGTATGCGGAAGTTCGAGCATGTGGGCTTCTCACACTGGATGCTTTTCACATCGCGAGTGTCCATTGCCTTCTTCCTCTTCATCATCGTCGCCACCAGCCCATAACCATACCTTACCGGCACCACCATCATGATCAGGCTATGGTCATGACGATGACCATGCATGACCATTATCATGTTGATGATGATCATCATCATCATCGTCATCATGATGCATCGCCAGTGTCAGAACCTCCCCCGATATCATCGCCATCATCCGTGATTACGAGGTCACAAGCCTTATTAAACTTATGTCTGTAGAGTTTAAAGTCAAACGGTTGGATTAGATCCCTGCCCATAATCCTGTGCATGACGTTTCCATCTGCCGAAATCATGCTGCAGTGCGTGCGGGTGTGTGTGTGTGTGAGTGAGTGAGTGAGTGAGTGAGTGAGTGAGTGAGTGAGTGTGTGTGTGTGTGTGTGTGCGCGCGTGTGTGTGTGTGTGTGTGTTGGTGTGGTGTGTGTGTGTGTGT